TAGAGGCGTCACCACCGCCATTAAGGAAAACACAACCGTCACGTCACCATGACAAGAATAAGTAGCACCGGCGTGGAATCCTCATCAAAGCTAAGCTTGTAAAGAGCAAATGTTTGCAACAAGACAAGTGTTTGAATCAATAGGACTAATCAACGAGGACAGGTTATCGGAACTCTGCCTCGCAATCCTACACGAGAGAGTGAGAAGAGGGAACATGATCACTCAATATAAAATAAAGAGAGAGAGAATATAGTTATGTTGGAGATGGACAGCCTCTCTAAAGTGATAGAAAATACATCAATAGGACACAGATGGACGCTGCAAACAAGTCGTGAGAAATACAAGAAAATACTCGCACTCGCAGGAGGTCAACAAGTGGACTGCGCCGCCTGGCGATGAGGGCGCCGCCTCCACCCACAACGTCAACACCAAGTACTACAAAGGACTCGAACGACAGGAAAACTACACACGCTAACACCAGGTACACCTGATGAGCACGGTGGGTGTTAATTTGGAGGTCGATCACCCCGGACGCTTGGTGAGATGATGGTGAGCTGCATCAACACCACCGTCACCACCACCACCACCATCACCACCACCACCTACCACTACTGCCTCGGGCAGCGTCAGACCTGAGTCAGCGGGAGGGAGGCGATGGTCATTCACCATAACCCCCATTGGTCGTAATGACGTGTACCAGTTAGCTGGTGATGGGGTGTCGTGGTGGAGGTGTGGGGTGGGGGGTGGGTGGAGGGTGTAAGGGGAAGTGGGTGGAGGAGGGTGTGTTATGGATAAGATTTGGGCGGATTGTGTTAGAGGAAGAGGTTGGTGAGGATCAGGTGTGGAGGGGTTGTGGGGGGTTGGTGTCATCCTCCGGAGCGTGAGATGTTTCTGGGAGGATGAGGTTTTGGGAGGAAAATGGTGTGAGGAATAGTGGTTGGAGGAGGGAGGGAATTATCAGGCGAAAACACGAAGCCACCACGACTATAGAGCACAGGAAATGGGTCAGGATAAGGATTTGGGATGGGACAGGGGAAAGGAATGGCGACCAACCATTTGGACGGTCGGGGATTGAACGCCGACCTGCATGAAGCGAGACCGTCGCTCTACCGTCCAGTCCAAGTGGTTGATAATAGAAGCCTTAAAACACGAACATCGTGAGTTGTGAAGATGGCGGGTGGTGAAGGTGAAGGTTGTGAGTTGTGAGGATGGCGGGTGGTGAAGGTTGTGTGTTGTGAGGATGGTGGGTGGTGAAGGTTGTGTGTTGTGAGGATGGTGGGTGGTGACGGTTGTGTGTTGTGAGGATGGTGGGTGGTGACGGTGAAGGTTGTGTGTTGTGAGGATGGTGGGTGGTGAAGGTTATGAGTTGTGAGGATGGCGGGTGGTGAAGGTTGTGTGTTGTGAGGATGGCGGGTGGTGAAGGTTGTGTGTTGTGAGGATGGTGGGTGGTGAAGGTTATGAGTTGTGAGGATGGCGGGTGGTGAAGGTTGTGTGTTGTGAGGATGGCGGGTGGTGAAGGTTGTGTGTTGTGAGGATGGTGGGTGGTGACGGTTGTGTGTTGTGAGGATGGTGGGTGGTGACGGTGAAGGTTGTGTGTTGTGAGGATGGTGGGTGGTGACGGTTGTGTGTTGTGAGGATGGTGGGTGGTGAAGGTTATGAGTTGTGCGGATGGCGGGTGGTGAAGGTTGTGTGTTGTGAGGATGGTGGGTGGTGAAGGTTGTGTGTTGTGAGGATGGTGGGTGGTGAAGGTTGTGTGTTGTGAGGATGGTGGGTGGTGAAGGTTGTGTGTTGTGAGGATGGCGGGTGGTGAAGGTTGTGTGTTGTGAGGATGGTGGGTGGTGAAGGTTGTGAGTTGTGAGGATGGCGGGTGGTGAAGGTTATGAGTTGTGAGGATGGTGGGTGGGGAAGGTTGTGAGTTGTGAGGATGGTGGGTGGTGAAGGTTGTGAGTTGTGAGGATGGTGGGTGGTGAAGGTTGTGAGTTGTGAGGATGGTGGGTGGTGAAGGTTGTGTGTTGTGAGGATGGTGGGTGGTGAAGGTTGTGTGTTGTGAGGATGGTGGGTGGTGAAGGTTGTGTGTTGTGAGGATGGTGGGTGGTGAAGGTTGTGTGTTGTGAGGATGGTGGGTGGTGAAGGTGAAGGATGTGTTCGTCTGTGCGCCGACTCCTCACGGCTCACTCTCACTAACTAGTGTGCTCACCCAGCCTTACAAGGATGATGTTCAGCCGGTCGGGTGTACTGATGTCCAGCCGGTCGGGTGTACTGATGTCCAGCCGGTCGGGTGTACTGATGTCCAGCCGGTCGGGTGTACTGATGTTCGAAAGGTCGGGTGTACTGATGTACGAACGGTCGGGTCTACTGATGTACGAACGGTCGGGTCTACAGATGTACGAACGGTCGGGTGTACTGATGTACGAACGGTCGGGTGTACTGATGTACGAACAGTCGGGTGTACTAATGTACGAACGGTCGGGTGTACTGATGTCCAGCCGGTTGGGTGTACTGATGTCCAGCCGGTCGGGTGTACTGATGTCCAGCCGGTCGGGTGTACTGATGTCCAGCCGGTCGGGTGTACTGATGTCCAGCCGGTCGGGTGTACTGATGTACGAAAGGTCGGGTGTACTGATGTACGAACGGTCGGGTCTACTGATGTACGAACGGTCGGGTCTACTGATGTACGAACAGTCGGGTGTACTGATGTACGAACGGTCGGGTGTACTGATGTACGAACGGTCGGGTGTACTGATGTACGAACAGTCGGGTGTACTAATGTACGAACGGTCGGGTGTACTGTTGTACGAACAGTTGGGTGTACTGATGTACGAACGGTCGGGTGTACTGATGTACGAACGGTCGGGTGTACTGATGTACGAACGGCTGGGTGTACTGATGTACGAACGGCTGGGTGTACTGATGTTCGAACGGCTGGGTGTACTGATGTACGAACGGCTGGGTGTACTGATGTACGAACGGCTGGGTGAACGCGAGTCGGACGGTCGGGTGGTCGTCGGGTGGACGCGGGTCGGACGGTCGGGTGGTCGTCGGGTGGACGCGGGTGCTCGTCGGGTGGACGCGGGTCGGACGGTCGGGTGGACGCGGGTCGGACGGTCGGGTGGTCGTCGGGTGGACGCGGGTGGTCGTCGGGTGGACGCGGGTCGGACGGTCGGGTGGTCGTCGGGTGGGCGCGGGTGGTCGTCGGGTGGACGCGGGTGGTCGTCGGGTGGACGCGGGTGGTCGTCGGATGGACGCGGGTGGTCGTCGGGTTGACGCGGGTGGTCGTCGGGTGGACGCGGGTGGACGCGGGTGGTCGTCGGGTGGACGCGGGTGGTCGTCGGGTGGACGCGGGTGGTCGTCGGGTGGACGCGGGTGGTCGTCGGGTGGACGCGGGTGGACGCGGGTGGTCGTCGGGTGGACGTAGGTGGTCGTCGGGTGGACGCGGGTCGGACGGTCGGGTGGACGCGGGTGGTCGTTGGGTTGACGCGGGTGGACGCGGGTGGTCGTCGGGTGGACGCGGGTGGACGCGGGTGGTCGTCGGGTGGACGCGGGTCGGACGGTCGGGTGGACGCGGGTCGGACGGTCGGGTGGACGCGGGTGGTCGTTGGGTTGACGCGGGTGGACGCGTCAACGTACAAATTACATAGCACTATGAAAAATAAGAACTTACAGAAATCCACGTTTTTTATATGTCGTTTAATAATGTTAGGTGGGTGGCTTGGGTTCGTGCGATTCTGGTTAGGTTAGAACGTGATATTTTGTACGTTCAGGATAATTAACATCTCTCTATTCTTAAAAACTTTTCCATACCCTTAGAATTATGCTTATTCTCTCTTTATTGTATTTTAGGATTAGAACTATACTATAAATTTCTTTTCAAATATGAAAATTATAAATTATTAATTGAGACGTGAAAAGAATTAATAAAAATACAAATGAATCTTCTCCGTTATGCCCTTGGTCGCTAAGAAGCTTTCAAAATCTTCGATTTTTCCTAAGCTCTCTTCAGTCGTACAATCAGTGGCGAGCATTTCCAGAGTCGCTGTATTAATTGGTCCTTTGTGGACACCTGCCCGAAGCTCTGTTCACTCCTTAACGAGTCTCGCTGTTTCGCTGTTACACATCTAAGTCTAATTAAGAGAAAGAAGAGGAAACCCGATGCCATAATGTGGAACGATTCTCTCTCTGGCGCTCGCAAACATTTCTGGAATATTAAGCAGTTGGTAAATAATGAGCAGTCACACGTCAAGCTCCGCTATTCACCTAGTGACGTATATATGTAAGCAATTATGTAAAACTCTCGGTGTCGTTATGTGTACTAGATGGTCCAGTCTCCGTTGGTTTTGTCTGGCTGGCCTGTGCAAGGAATTCAGGTCCGAGTGTGGATTTCTTCAGGATGCAACCCGCCACCGTTGGCTGACTTCCAGGTACCTACTCTGCTAGGAGTAAAAAGGCTTTAGGTGTAAAGAATCGGGCCAAAATGACTGGATCAACTGGATTGTAGGCCTGCAGGCCGCTCCAAGCAACAGCCTGTTAGACCAAGTTATCACGCGTCAAGTTTGGCCACAGGCTGGATTTTGGGTCGTAGAAGAACTCCAGAACCTCTTACAGGTAAACGCCACGTTTACTCCTGTGAGATAATGGAGCTTTGGAGTATTTGGTCATGAGCCGCCTGCTCTGATCACGGCACTACACTGCTTGTTTATGCTTAGTGTGTGTGTGTGTATTATTGTATATATACATACATACATAAAGTGTGTGTGTGTGTGTATATTATTGAATATGACAGAAAGGATATGACAGACCAATATGAATATGACAGACCAGTGATTCTAGCATGAATATTCTCTATATTCATTATGCTCTTCAATATGACATAATATTAAACAAACACATTATTTGCCTTAATTTGTTATATAAAGATGCTCTATGATCCTTATATCTAAATGATTGTCATATACAGCGTCCTCATTTTCCTGTGTTGCCTGACTCTGGTGTTCTCTCCACAGTACGACCCCCGGGCGGCCTTAGACTCTATGGTGAGTAATGATTGGCTTCTCTGTAACTCCTCCCATTCTCCCTTCTAGATTATCTAGAGTATTTTTTGTATTCATATAATCCTGAATGTTTACTTAAGATTATCGTGCCTGTTCTAAATGATTTAGCATTATAGACTAAATGTTGTTTGACTTTACTGCACATGATCTATAGCCTTATACTCTAAATAGTCTAGAATACTCTACCCTATATAGTCCTGAAGGATTTATTTTAGTGCTAAATTTGTCTTCCAGAAGATCTAGTTTACTTAAGTCAATGTGGTTTACATTGTTTAATGTAAACCAGCTTACATGGTTTGGTGTTGGGCTGATGCCTACCAATCTCTCAATGGTTACTGATGTAACCATAAGAACTTAACTGACCATCCAGCAAGTATACTTTAGAACTGGGCTAGTAGATAAATTATGTGTGTGTATACATCGAGAAGTGGAGTACATATTTGGGTGTGTATACCCCTGTGAGGGATCGAGATTACTTATTTCTCCTCTTCAGACCACAAGAAATATAACATTTCATTGCAATGAAGTAATATTGATCTTCTAACAAAAAACAAGTTCTTTGTGGAATTAATTAATGTCCTTGACTGTCCGAGTGGAGTTTACCTCTCCGAAGGCTTTATTGGAAAGTTTACATAACAAGTGTCTAGTTTCTTAAATTCTGGGGATGAAACTTGATCATTCCTTATGATTTCTCTTGTGCGAAATATTTTTAAAAGAAACAATACTATAAATGAAGAAAGATCGCCCCCCCCCACACACACTCACACTCACACTCATACTATCACTCACTCACACTTTCTTTCGAGTGTCAACAGGGAGCAGAATGGGACAAGAAGGGAAACCACGAATGTATGGGAGGATAAAGATAATATAATGAATGGGAGTGTCAAGAAGAGAGAGGGATTACCCAGAGAGACACATTAAAGGCAATCATTTAACCGGTTCTACAGTAGGTGAGATGTGAGGGGAAGTGAACTCCAGGAGATAAACAACAAGCAAACTCGAGGTAACCAAGAAACAAGCACGAGGTAAACAAGCGCAAGGTTGCCAATTAACATGTGCTAAATAACCAGTTAACAAGCTAGTTAACAAGCTAATTTAACAAGCTCGTTAAACAGTAAACAAACTCAAGGTAAATATTTAACAATCGTGAATTAACCAAAAAACAGTGGCGATGATACAAATAAACAACCGCGAGATGACCAGTAAACAAGCGCGAAAAAAAACAATAAATTAGCCCGAGGTAAACAATAAACAAAAGCGAGGTAAACAATAACAAACACGAGGTTTACAATAAACAAGCTCTAGGTAAACGATAAATAAGAGTGAGACAAATAATAAAACTCGAGGTAAACAATAAACAAACACAAAGTAAACAAGCAAGTGCGAGATAAACAACCGGCAGGTAAACAATAAACAAGTGTGAGATAAGGAAACATCCACGAGATAAACAATAAACAAGCAAGAGGTAAACAAACAAATGCGAGATATATATTAAGCAAACTCGAAATAAAAAATAAACAAGGGCAGGATAAAGAGTAAATCAAAGAAAGAAAGAAACAAGTTCGAGGTAAACAATAAAGCAAACACAAAATATATAATAACGAAGAGCGAAATAAAAATTAAACAACGTCAGGGAAACAATAACATTACGCGGAGTAAACAAGCCAGCGGGAGATCAACAATAAACAAGTGAGAGAGGAAAACAATTAACGAGTGCGAATTAAGTAAACAAGCGCGAGATAAAGATTTAAACGCGAAGTAAACAATAAACAGGAGCGAGGTAAATCAAAAGGCGCGAGGAAAATAAACACGTTCAGGGTAAACAATAAACAAGCTCGAAGCAAACAATATATAAGCAAGAGGCAAACACTAATCTTGAGGAAAACAATAAAAAAACACGAGGTAACTAATAAACAAGCGCGAAGCAAAGAAACAGGTGTGAGATAAACAATGAACAGGAGCGAGGTAAACAAGAAACAGGAGCGAGGTAAACAAGAAACAGCAGCGAGGTAAACAAGAAACAGCAGCGAGATAAACAATAAACCAGAGCGAGGTAAACAATAAACAGGAGCGAGGTAAACAATAAACAAGGTAGAAGGTGAGACGGTGCCAACAAAAAAGGTCCCGGAACCGGTCACTAAGCAGCGGAGAGCCAGTTTCCCGCCAAGACTTCCCGCCCTCAAGATATGGCATACAATTTTTTGCTTAATTAAGTAACGTTTGAATGATATCGTAGCCCATCACCGTCACTGCTACGATAGCCTCTCCCTTCACCATCACTGCTACTGTAGCCCCTCCCACACCATCACTACTACGGTAGCCCCTCCCATACCATCACTGCTAATGTAGTCCCTCCCACCACCATCAACGCTACTGTAGTCCCTCCCACCACCATCAACGCTACTGTAGTCCCTCCCACCACCATCACTACTACGGTAGCCCCTCCCACCACCATCACATCTACTGTAGCCCCTCCCACCACCATCACATCTACTGTAGCCCCTCCCACCACCATCACATCTACTGTAGCCCCTCCCACCACCTTCACATCTACTGTAGCCCCTCCCACCACCATCACATCTACTGTAGCCCCTCCCACCACCATCACATCTACTGTAGCCCCTCCCACCACCTTCACTGCTAACATAGTCCTTTCCCACTATCTCCCAAAAAATGGCCCCCTGGAGAAATTCCATCTTTCCCGGCATCAGTCCTCTCCTAAGCTGTCTCCCGCTTCATTTCGCCTCCACTTTACCTGCCCCAAAAGCTTTTGTTTTACTCATATTTTGTTTTCTTATTTAAATTTATGTCTCGGCGCTCTTAAAGGGCGGCATTATAATTGATGAAAGGTTTCAACTTGGG